AAAAATTCTCTCTCTCTCTCTCTCCCCCCTCTCTCACTCTCTCTTTAAAAAAAAAATAAAATAAAAATAAATGAGGCCTGGATCACTCTATATAGTCATTACACACGGGAGATAATTTCTCCACTAGGAATTCTCAGTGGTCTTGCACGGCTTGAATGCTGACTGAGACTTTGTCTAATTCATTTGTGGTTTTATTCTAGGAGGAGATATTGACAATGTGCACGATAGGAAATGTCAGTGAACACTTTGCCTAGCCCTCTTGGTGTGGATCACATTATTGGCCAGGCCAGATGCACCTTATAGGGTTTGTGACCCTCATCACATTCATTGGGTTTCTCTCCACCATAAATGCTTGATATGTGAGATGTCAATGTTACTGAAGACCGCAACACATTTGTTGCATTACTATTTTCCTCTTCTGGGGTTTAGGGATTGAACCCAGGGACTCAAAATGTGTTAGGCAGTCATTCTACGACTTAGCTACATCAGAGCCCTTTATTTCATATTTAGAGAGTCTCACCATTATGTCCAGACTGGATTTGCACTTGCCACCCTTCTGCCTTTTTCTGAAGTAGGTGAGACGCACCACCCTGTGCACTTTGATTACAAGACTATGGCTTCTCTACACTATGGATCCTGCGGTGATGGGCTAGGGATGAATTCAGACTGAAGACCTTGCCACAGTTATTACATTTGTAAGGTTTCTCCCCAGTGTGGATTCTGCGATGACATGCTAGGTATGAATTTTGACTGAATACTTTGCCACAGTCATTACACTTATAAGGTTTCTCTCCTGTATGGATTCTGCGATGACATGCAAGATGTGAACTGCGACCAAACACTTTGCCACATTCATTGCATCTGTGAGGCTTCTCCCCAGTATGCATTATCAGATGTTCTGCTAGGTATGAGTTGCGGCTGAAGACCTTGCCACACTCATTGCATTTGAAAGGTTTCTCTCCGGAGTGGATTCTTTGATGATTTGCTAGGGAAGATTTGTGACTGAAAACACTGCCACACTCATTGCATTTGTAAGGTTTCTCTCCTGTATGAATTCTCCGATGTTGTGCAAGGTGTGAAATGTGACTGAAGACCTTGCCACATTCATTGCATTTGTACGGTTTCTCCCCAGTGTGGATTATCAGATGTTGAACGAGGTAAGAATTGCGACTGAACACCTTGCCACACTCA